GAAAGGTGGGCGGAATGGCAGGGCACCTCAGGGGAGCGGAGCAGGGGTCGGAGTGCGGCCACAGCCACGGCGCGGAGTGGGGCCCGGGAGGCGCAATGCCCCTCTCGTCTTCCTGGCCCCTTTGCCCTTCAATGGGGTCACGGAGGACTGGGCGGCATCAAGGCCTCAAGTTGTCTCCTCGGGAAAGGCGGTGAAGGGCCTGGGGCTCCTCACGGCCACTGGACGAGGAAAGGGCATGAGGCACTAGGAGAAGGAGGGTTCATCCGCCAAACCAATCCCCTTTTGTGCCAAGGAAAATAGAACCGTAGCTTCTACCTAAAAAATAAGAGGTAGTGCTGTAAGTTATTTTCTGCAGAAAGAAAACCAGCTGGTTGGTGGGATCCAAAGGAAGGCTCACACACCATCCGGCAGCCTGTTTGAAAAGCTGCTTCCCCCCTGAAATCTCAAAAAGTTATTTCTGAGTCTGTCGAACCCAACCTGGATAGCAAGCAGACAGCAAGGAAAGGCTTTTTTCCTGGCAGTGGTCAGGATCTGCCCAGTGTTTCTGCTGTGGAGGCCCCTCCTCTTTCCTCCAAACACTGCCATGGCACCAGGATGGCACAAGCCCTACCACAGGCACCAACCCTGGGTTCATGTTTTGTTGCACTGGGCCCTGACAGTGCTGTGAGCAGGGCATTGCACAGCCTCACCTGGATGTTTCGTTCCTGGTTGGGTAGCTAGGTCAGTCCCCAGTTCCCATCTCTTTGACAAAAACCTGGCACCGCTTGCGATGTGGGCCAGCACCCCCACTTCACTCGTGTTCCTCAGCCTCCCAGGCCAGATGGAAGGAGCGTGAAACTACAGCACGGCAAATAGTGCGCTTTTTCTAGTCTCTGGCAGATAAGGTGAGATAAAGGCATCAGGAGCCCCACATCATGAGCTTGCTTTTCTGTTTTTAAAACTTAGTGTTTCCAACATGCTGTGATTGATGTATGTTGGAAACTGAGCCCCACCAGCACAAGTCGGCCCTGACCCTGAACTGAGGAATCACAGCTCAGTCAAGGACAGCTTCTAATGACTGAAGCAGCCACTTAAACATGTTCAGGGAACTGAGCTGAAGACCTCCAGGTTGGGCAAAAGCCGAACAAGGAAACTAGTGATTTCATTTTGAAAACTGCTCAAACTACGCTGTGAATTAGTTTTTGCCCTTAGAACTCCCTGATTTAGTTTCCCTTCAGCTTCTTTGTTCCCTCTAATGATGCATAGAAATTATGCTCAGTTCAGCAAACAGAATAATAAAATTCTGTAGGAGGGCACATACCAGGACCTCAGCCAATCTGGAGCTTTTCCCTTCGTCCCAGGACGCTTATGAAAGGTATAAATATTTCCAGTCCCTGGAGAAGAGGCATTTCTTGTCCTTATCTGTGAGTGGGATATTGTATACGCTATAAATGTCAGGTAAAACCCAAGGGAATAATTGCTGCTGGTTATTTTCAAACATACTGGAGCTTGCAAATGAAAAGCAACATCCAATAAAACCTGGGTGTGTGAATAATTAAAGCAGTAGCATGAGACAAATGAACTTTAAGAAATGAAAAGCTTAGGACTAAAAGGAAAAGGAGTTGCAAGTGAGCAAGAGAAAGCTAAGGACAACATTGCTCTGGGTTACTTTGCCAAATACACAATTATTTCTGCAGGAACTGTTATCCTGCAAGATGTCACATCAGCAAATTATGTCTCTGCTAATAAATGACTGAAACTATTGAAGAGTGCATTTCTAGCCTTGAAAGCAAAAATAATGTGTCTTTAAACCCAAAATGCTACAGTTCATGGTAGCCAAATTAAAAATTCTACTACTTTTATTAAAGCAGTAAAAATTAATTAGGACTCATGGTACTTTAATTTTGAAATAAACTTATTGTATGAGCTCTACGGATAGTCCACAGACTCTATGGATAAAAATTTGAAGCCCTCAGGAGCTTTGTCACCACCTCAACACCTTACAGTGAAAAAACCCCCTACCGTTAGCGAACAGCGCTTATTGGGTAATTGCCAATTTACCTGCTTTTACTCACAAGAAAAAAGTAGCAGGTTACTTCCTTTTCAGTACTGCCTATACTACATTGAATTACCACCCAGGCATTTGCTACAAAACCAGGCAACGCAGAAATTGATTTGCTTGCCTGCCAGAACCCAGGAACCCAGTGGTCTCTGGCTGAGGGGATTTTAAATACCAGAGGACTAGGAGACTTCAAAAGGTTTTACTTCAGGTGTCTCACTTTTGTGTTTGCAAAAGAAACACAATACTGTTCTTTCTTTAGTCATTAAAGATGTGGGATGCAGAATACTTTCTGTTCAGAATAATTTCTGTTCTTATTCTGTAACTTATTCTGTTCATTCTGTAATTTGGAAGCTTAGAGACAGACTTTCAAAACATTAATCTTCACTTTCGATGCTTGTGAGGCTCTAAGACTTTGGTGATGAGCTGCACAGGAAATGTACCCAGCAAACAAATGACTTGCAGACACTAAACGGAACAGGTCAATGTATGTAAACAGTGCTTATGTGATAGTCTTGTCTTATTATCACAAAAGCCACAGCCCTTACAGAAAGTTTATGGCCATTTGCTAACACTGTAAAATTACAACAGAGCAAGTTGCTGCTTGCCCTTTGAGCTGCTGTACCTCCAGAGGTATTTTCTGCATCCACCTCACTTGGTTAACTAATTAGCAAAAGTGTAATTCCAGTCCTCGTAGCTATTTAATTTACATGTTTTCTGCTCATCCACAAATGGCCAACAATCTATTTTTAATCCTGCTAGGATAAGTAAAAGAATTTAATGATTTAAAATGGAGGCAGAGTTTGTAAGGCAGAGAAAGAATGTCATACCGAGTCTTTGCTTGGAGAGATCACAAGGACTTCAAGGGCTACTAGGAAAACTAGGCCACCTACAGAAAACATGCAACTGATGTGTAAGTTAACCAATTTTACCTAAGACTTGGGAAAGATAAGAACATACACACGGACAACAGGGGTGGCAATGTGGAAGAGCAGTTCTTCAAGCTGCTGTAACTTTAAAAAACTACAAGGATGAAGTGAAA